AGTGTGGGGTTCATTGGTCTAATTTTGATATTGTTCTATCTCTGGGATTAGGGAGGGTCAAGAATAGGGAGAGAGACACAGGGTAGAGCCTGTTGGTGGAGCAGTAAAATACACAGAACACTTAACACTTAAGTTCACTGTTGTATATGGAGGAATGCTGATGGTGTAATGGATCATGCGTTGGGCTGCTAACCACAAGGTCAGTAGTTCAAACCCACCAGTTGCTCCGTGGGAGAAAGGTGAGGCTTTCTGTTCCTGTAAAAATGTTTAGCCTCAGAAACCCACAGGGGCAGTTGTACCCCATTCTACAGGGTTGCTATGAGTCAGAATTGACTTGACAACAATACGTTTTTGAGGGGTTTGTGTGTGTGTGTCATGTATGGGCTTGGCTCATGGCACCTGCAAGTGATTAGAATAGTAACATCAGAGACACTGATAATAGACCATCAGCACAGATATAATAATGCAAAGGTATGAAATGCTGAGAGAATTACCAACATGTGACACACGGACATGAGTGCGCACACATGCTGTTGAGAACATGGCAGTGATAGATTTTCTCGATGCAGGATGGCCACAATCTTTTATTGGGGGTGGGTGGGAAGAAGAGCAGTATCTATGAAGTCCATGAAAGCACAATTAAACCAGTATGCCTGTATATCCAATATTTGTTCTGACCCTAACCATTCCCACTCTACCCCTGGTAGTCCATCAGAGTTTTCTCATTAGTAAATTGAGGGAGTGATAGTCTACAAGATCATGTCCAAATTGGTGTATCTCTGACTCAAAAACATTTTACATATGGGGTATATTGAATACAGTTATGTACACCGAAAAACTGCTGGTGTGGGCAGAGGTGATACTCAGCTTATTGAATGAGCACCAGACAGGTCCTCTGTACCAATGGAGTCCAACGAAAGAGTTATATTCCCACCAGGACTCAGAGTCTACATTAATCATGGGAAAGTGGCATTGTATCTTGGATTTAAAGTATTTCATAAGACTTAAAACCTATTTCATTATTTCACTATTCCTAAGTCATCGTAGATACTGCCTCAGAGATAACAGTCTGAGTTATTACTATGTATGACATGTTTAACTATACTTTTAAAATACTTGCATGGGCCAATATGTCAGCAGGATATTCACTTTTTAAAATCCACCAAAAAGATTTTGATAAACAAAAAGATAATCATCTACTGCTAGTTTATGTGCACAAAAATTAAAACAGACCATAAGCTGCCATGGGTGGATGCCAAGTAAATGACCTTGGGGAGAAACTGATAAGCACGTTGGCTGTTTATGATGAACAGGTTTGTTTGTAATGGAGCTGTAGTGGCACGCATGCTCTCTTATGACTTCCCAGAGCGGTGAGTCCATTTAGGATGTGCATCAAATTCTTCATCTCCAGTGCGCCTGCTGCTTATGAGCACAATGCATCTGCAGGAAACACGATGGAGAGGGGAAGCCATGGAGCTACCAGGACTAGCCTTCCCCCAAACCAAGCCTGGCTAGCCAGTTGATTCCAGCTCAACGTGGTTCCACAGGATGGAATAGAACTGTCCCAAGGGGTTTCCAAGGCTGTAACTCTTGACAAAGCCATAGTGGCTTTACCCCGTTCTGTAACTCAGGGACTTCCCTCATGGATCTCCTCCCACATCAGACAGTACAGAATGCTTAGGAGTGTTTATTAGCAACTTCAATCATCAAATAGCATGGGATAAATATAGTGATGACTTGCTTAAATGTAGTAGTTCTTAGATTGTAGGCATACTAACAACAAAATTGATGTGTAAAACAATGGAATGACATTATTAGTTACAATGTTATTAGTATGTAAGTGGGAACCTCCCCCCACCCTCCCCACACACTTCTTTTCCTTTAATTACTACTTCACATCCAAGAAAGTCATTATAAAGCTTCACAAATAGTAAGCAACACAGTATTGCAGCTACCATACCAGAACGTTTGCCAGCAGCAGCAGGAGCTTTTTAAAACAAACACTGGCAGCTACAAAGACAACCATGGAGGCTTTTAGCACTTAGAGATAAAAACCATTCAAAGCATCGTTGTGATTGAGTAATAATGGCAGCTCTACACCAGCCTGTGTGATCCAAGAATTACAAATAATAGAATCGAAATACAAAGGAGGGAATAGTTTCAGACCTTAAATTGTGCACACCCAATTTGCATAAGGTTTGGATGACAATGGGAGCCCAAGTCCACATATGGATTAAGCCTCTCATGAATTCCCTCTGACCACAGAGCAGGGATGTGAAGAGCCTGGCTATCTTGCAGAGTGTAGTGTTTGTTTGTTTTTCTTTCTTTTTTCCCTATGTTTTCCTGTATCTGATATCCAGGATGGGTAGAGCTATGGAGCCAGTGGCTGCATTGATGGTTGCTTGGGTGCTATGGCAGAGGAAGTTGGGGGCAAATGGGGAGCTGGAAACAATGAGTACAAGAAAGAAGAAAATAGTCTAAAATTGAGGGTTGGGATGATTGCACAACCCTTTTAAATCTAACTGAGTTATTGAATTGTATGATATGTTAATTATCCGCAATAAAACTGTTAAAATTAATTATAAATAAATCAAAACAAAAAGTCAATTTGGGAAAAAAAAATAATGACAGCTCTGACAGAGGTGGATTAGATGGTTCTAGAAGTAAAGTAGCATAGAGCTTTGCCCTTGTAGTTCCACCGGTGCACGCAAGCGGAGGAAAACGTTCTAGGTATTGTAACAAACCACAGGGATATCTTTATTATGGATAATCCGTTTCTCCTGAAACACTGTACAGAAATTCAATAGGCAGTCAATTTGGTGCCCCCCCCCCCCTTGCTGGCAGCGCTTCTTATCAAATGAGGGTCCAACTCAAGCAAGCAAACCCTGTCTGAGCCAGTCCTTTCTGACCTTGGGACAGAGCAGAATGGCTCCTTGGTGTTTTCTGAACTGCAGTCTTTAAGAAAGCCAATCAGCAAGCCTTTCTTCTGCAGGGATGCTCAGTGGGTTCCGGCCGTCCACTTGTAAGTGCGCAGGCACGAGCAAATCATTTTGAAGAACAATCCATCACCACCACCACCCCTTTTTTCTGTAATTATATTTTCACATCAAGATTTATTAGCCTTGGGAAGTCAACTGGAAGGGTTTTATTTTTGCCTGAGCTTATTTTTGTCATGCTGTTGTCAGTTGCCCTGCATCAGTTCTGACTCGCAGTGACCCTCTGTACCACAGAAGGAAGCACTGCCCAGTCTGGCCCCACCCTCACCATGGTGGTTATGTCTGTGCCCATTGTTGCAGCCTCTGGGTCAACCCTGCTCCTCAAGGGTCTTTCTCCTTTTCGCCCACCCTCTACCAAACATAATGTCCTTTCCCAGGCAACGATCTCTCCGGATAAGATGCCCAAGACCTTGTAAGATAAGGTCTTGCCATCTTTGCTTCTAAGGAGCATCGCTGTACTTCTTCCAAGAAGTACTTCTGAGTTAGGGAAAGCTTATATGATGTGGAAATGATCATCCCATTACTGATTTGAAATAATCCCTATAAGAATTGTAACACCCTGGAGTTCACCTGTAGAAGTTGTTTTTTGTTTCTGCTTTCTCTTGTGACCTTGCTTCAGACTTAGAATTCAGATGGCAAATAAAATCAAAGAATGTCTTTAGAATGCCTCCTTCTCTCACACTGCCCCTGCGGTCCCTTCCTCTCTAAGACTGACCCTTGCCCTAACCATCATCAGAGTACCAAGAGCAGGAACTCAATACTGGTAGAGTTTCTTTTTCTTTCCCTCTCATTCTTTCTACCTTATTCTTTAAGTTATAGCTGGTCTCCTTGCTGTGGGGACGGCTCTCGAAGAGCTTGTCCAAATTCAGGAGGGCAGTGTATTCCATGAAAGTTTAGATTTATTTTTTAATTCCTAATTTAATTTACCATGCCTTTTTAATTTCCAATTTTGCGTATGTCTACATGTTTTTCTTCCTTACATTTGCCAGATTTGTTTATTTTCATTTTTAACAGATTTATAATAATCTATGATCAATTCTTCTGTTTTCATTGTGCTTTTCCATCTATTCATGTATACTTTCAGCATTATCCCCACCCCCTGTGGTAGTTGTATCATCGTTTATCAATTTGAGAGGATTAAGAGTGAAGGGGTGGAGTCCAGCCTGTCAATCAGGTCATAGACAACGAGGCCTCTGTGTGGGCATGGCTTTCTCCTGAAGATTCCCGGAACTCCTGTATTCCTCCTTGGAGGTGGGAGACACACACTCTCTCTACTCACTCCCTGAGAGACTCTCTACAGACAAGACACAAGGGGCAATGATAGTGGCAGCCAGAGCCTCAGAGCTGGAGAAGCCACGTAGAAACCCCTGTCAGCACTGAGATGCTTTCACTGCCACAGGAACCACAAGACTTTCCACCCCCTGGTCTGTGATCTTCCTGCATTCGGTGCCATTGCATGTGTTTTATGAGTCTGAAAAGGAATTTATAGATTGGTATCAGACATATGAACTAATATTGGACTTACGGATTTGATCTGGACTGGGCTTGGATGTTTTCTTAATATATAATTGCTCTTTTACTTAAAGCTCTTTCCTATACACTTATGAGTGTCTATGAATTTGTTTCTCTAGTCTACCCAGACTAACACTCCCACCCCCACCCAGTCTTCTCATACATATAGGCCTTTGGTGAAAGAAACACACTCCTTGGTACTAGAAGATAAAGAAGGAAAATTTGTGTGGATTACACAAAAAGAAGGGAGAAGTTCAAAGTAGTGGTGGTATTAGGCAATGTAGCTGGCCTAATTGTGGCCAATTATGTAGTGGCATCAGGACAGACACTGAGATGAGGGCAAATAAGGGTTAATGAGGAGGAATACACTGGGGAATGGGGCAATACTTATTAGGACACTGGGGATTTACTTTGAAGATTGACGTATGAAATAAATGATATAACCTTATTAAATAACTGTGCTGATAAGACGGATCCCTTCCAATCTTGGGTGCCTTCTTACAGGGATACATGGAACGAGATGCTGGAGCCAATGGAACAGCTATTACTGAGTTCATCCTGCTGGGCCTGGTGGAAACACCCAGCCTGAGACCACTAGTCTTTGTACTTTTCTTCTTTGCCTACCTGGTCACCGTGGGGGGCAACCTCAGCATCCTGGCTGCCATCTTAGTGGAGCCCAAACTGCACACCCCCATGTACTTCTTCCTGGGGAACCTGTCGGTGCTGGATGTTGGGTGCATCACCGTCACTGTCCCTGCCATGTTGAGTCGTCTCCTGTCCCACAGGCGTGCGGTGCCCTATGGAGCTTGCCTCACCCAACTCTTCTTCTTCCATCAGTTGGCTGGTGTGGACTGCTTCCTGTTGACAGCCATGGCCTATGACCGCTTCCTGGCCATCTGTCGGCCCCTCACCTACAGCACCCGCATGAGCCAGGTCGTACAGAGAGTATTGGTGGCTGTGTCGTGGGCTTGTGCTTTTACCAACGCACTGACTCACACTGTGGCCATATCCACACTCCACTTCTGTGGCCCCAATGTGATCAACCATTTCTACTGTGACCTTCCTCAGCTTTTCCAGCTCTCCTGCTCCAGCACCCAACTCAATGAGCTGCTGCTCTTTGGTCTGGGTATCCTCATGGCAGGTGCGCCCGTGGTGCTCATTGTCACTTCCTACATCCACGTGGCGGCTGCGGTGTTGCGAATACGCTCAGCGGAAGGCAGGAAGAAGGCCTTCTCCACATGTGGCTCCCACCTCACTGTGGTGGGCATTTTCTATGGGACAGGTGTCTTCAGCTACATGAGGCTGGGTTCAGTTGAGGCTTCAGACAAGGACAAGGGGATTGGCATCCTGAACACGGTCATCAGCCCCATGCTGAACCCACTCATCTACAGCCTTAGGAACCCTGATGTTCAGGGGGCCCTGCGGCGGGTTCTTTCGGGAAAACGAGCATTGGCATGAGAAGTGTCTCAGGAGGATATGTGATTCCGGTCTTTTTGGTTCCTTGAGCAAGGTGACATTTGTTAAAGACTTCTTGCTCCAACAAAGAGGTGATACCTGATACTAGGTGTACAGGTTCTGTTAAACTAGAACCTTTGGTAAGTTGCCATTTGGTCTTAAATCCCCTTCTCATTCTAAATGGAGGTGAACACAGGAAATTCTGTATCCTTCCTTTAGGAAGGATTCCTTGTTTATTTGCTACCAGGGTTCCTCCAGATACACCAGGAAACAATCGACCAAAGGTAGGATATGGAAAGTTCCGTTCAGGTGCCAAGTGTTCACACATTCTCCCATCAGGATCCGGTGACAGTGGTTGTCCTTTTTCACTTTCACGGGTCCCTCCTAAGCGTAGCAAACCCAGCACAGTATAATTGAGACACTGATTTCCCATAGCCCTTTGCAAGGCAAGACAACAGGGGCTTTAACAGTGAGGACTTTAGGGTTTTTGTCTTTGTGTTTTGGATTTCACTCTCTTTTTATTTCAAAATGGAAATATGCATTGCTCTCAAAGCTTTTATTAAAGAAGTCATGTTTCTAAAATGAAAACAAAACAAAAATTTATCAGGTTGATATTTAATGTCAAAACTACACAGCCTTTATTACCTGCTAGTAATTAGAATTACCTGCTAGGAATTCCCCAGTAGGAACCACTGTTAAGAATTTGGTGCTTACCCTTCTAGTCTTTTTATAGATGTGTAAATATGTTTAAATATGTTTTGTGTTAATGTAAGCCTGTTTATCTATATTATATAGTAAATAGGGCACGCTCTTCTGTCATCTTTTGTTTGTTTGTTTGCTTACATTACACAGTGAACCTTTTGTCAGATATCTAAAAACTTACCTTATCTATTTTAATGACTACCTAGGATTTTATTATATGAGTTAACCACAATTTATTTAATCATATTGCTTTTTATGGAATTTGGATTGTTTCTAGACTTACTACATTTCTCATCCAATATGTAAAGAATATCCTGTAGTAATGGTTTCCCATTATTCTGAAAATATTTGTACATGATAAATTCCTGTTAGTAAGATTCCTGAGTTGGATAAAATAAAGACACAAATAAAAATTGCCTCTGTATATTTTCCTTTATGGTCCCCCCAAATTGAGCAATTTTATTATTTTAATAATGGATAAAACTGTTCATTCCCCATTCCTTTGTCAATAATGGCTGTTACAATATTTAAGTCTTCTGATTTTTGACATCATAATGATTAAAATTAAAAATTGTCTTAATATGTATTTCTTTGATATTCAATTAAGTTGAGTTAATCTTCAAATGTTTATTACAATCTATATTTTCTCCTTAGCAACCATCTTCTCAATTTCCAATAGGGCCCCACAGGTCTAAGAGCAATAGTGATCATTTTGATAAATTATACAAATAGATTTCCTGATATTCATCCATCCTTGTGATTCTGGAATAAACCTTGCTTAGTCCTGGTTTCTGAATTCCATTTGCAAATGTTCAATGTAGGAATTTTCCATTCATATTCATAAGGGAACTTGCAATGAATGAGAATTGATTATACCTGTGATTTTCTTTTTAAAATATGTTTGACAAGCTTAGCCTTTAAAAAAAAAATCATTTCATTGGGGGCTCATACAACTATTATCACAATCCACACATATAAGCTTAGCCTTTTTACTCCAGTTGTCTAGAGTCTCTATATATTTCCATGCAATTACTGATGCCATTGGGATTATATCTATCATCTTACTTGTATCTTTCAACTATTAGGTGTCTGAACACTGGTAGGTTAAAATCTTTGTGGGAACACATCACCAATTTTTTCTTCCATAGAGCCACTGGTGGGTTTGAACCATGGACCTTTGGGTTAGGAGTTAAGCTACTTAACCATGGTACTTCCAGAAAAGAAGCTAACCAAACTCATCACTGTCGAGTCGATGACAGCTCCTAGCAACCTTGCAGGACAGAGTAGAACTGCCCGTGAGTTTCCGAGACCGTAGGGTGAAAGCACTGTCAATCTCCCTGGAGGCAACTGATGGTTTCCAACTGTGGACCTTGCAATTAGCAGCCCAATGCTTAGCCACGATGCCACCGGGGCTCCTTTTAATGCTACCAGGGCTCCTTCTGAAATACTTAAAATATAATCATTCAAAAGCCATCAAGTCAATTCCAACTCATAACACCTTTATAGCACAGCATACTATCGAGTATAGTCCTATAGCGTTTGCAAGGCTGTAATCTTTACCGAGGCAGACTGGAATGTCTTTCTCTAGCTGAGTCACTGGTGCGCTCCGACTGCCTGTCTTTCAGTGAGCAGCCGAGTGCTTCCCTGCTACGCAACCAGGGCTCCTTCCTTGGATATTAGCACCTTTATTCCTTTCCTACCATTCTTTTACGCTGAGTAAGACCTTACAACTTTTTAATGCAGTCAACATTTATATGTACCGACATACATTTCCCTTCTCTATCCTTACTTTTCCTTCCTGCATTTTTTGGCTCGGTCCTGCTTCTCTCCTTTCCTTTTCGGTCTCTTCAGACATCGTTTTCTTTGTTCCCGAGGAGCTTCCTGTCCTTGTGCTTTCAGTACACACCTGTTGCTCATGTGTGTTTTTCACGTTTGCAAAGGACATTGTCATTGCGAACAGAAGTGTAGGCCGGCAGTTACTTTCTTTCAGCACTTTAAGGGCAGCTTTCAGTTGTCTCCGTGCCAAGATTCTTCCTGCTGAGAAATGATTTCTTGCTTTATTCAAAGCCGCGCGTGCATTTTCTTATGGCTGCTTTGCTTTGCTTTGTTGTTATTTGAGCATTCGATGATGGTGGGCCTACGTAATTGTCTTCCACCAGTGCCACCAGTTGGCGTGGTTCTCTCTGACTAGTATTGCCTTAGGATAATGATACATAGTAGCTTATTTTATTTCCCATTGGATGATGTGGATGTTCAAGCTTCTGCCATAATTTATGATGTTTTCCGATAGTCATTTTATATTTCATTGCATTGGGTAAATCTGCTGCACAAGACCTCTTTAAAGTGTTAAAGGAGTAAGATGCCCCTGACCCAAGCTGTAGTATTCTCAGTGGCCTCATCTGCACATAGATTTCGGACATTGAAGAAGGAAGGCTGAAGAACGAATCGTTGCATTTGGTATTGGTGAAGAATATTGAAAGTACCATGGACTGCCAAAAGAACAAACAAGTCTGTCTTGGAAGAAACACAACCGGAATGCTCCTTGAAGGCAAGGATAGTGAGACCGCATCGCCGGTCCTTTGGACGTGTTGTCAGGGGAGACTAGTCCCCGAAGGAAGGCCTCATGCTTGGTGAAGTAGGGGGGCAGTGAAAAAGAGGAAGACCTTTGATGAGACGGATTGACACAGTGGCTGCATTGCTGGGCTCGAGCACAAGAGCGATTGTGAGGGTGGCACAGAACTGGGCAGGGTTCGGTTCTGTTGGACATCCTGTCATTATGAGGAGGGACTGACTCCATGACACCTACCAGCAATAACAGCAACAGGGAAATCCTTAGGGGAAAAAAGCTTAAACATTTGCATATTACATGCTTAAAATGAGATCTCTGAGTACCAATAACATGAGCCTAACACTGGGAGGAGGGTCAACTTCCCTAAGGACTATAGACTCAGGGTAATCATTCTTCTCAGTGACTGTAAATAGTGTGTATTGTGGCCGAACATTAGAGATCGACTGCAAGTAGTTTTCAGTGCTTTGAGCTGGGCTATGAGGAGTGGGACAGGCATGACTATTCTGAGATATGAGCACCTTAGGCTCGTCTCTGGAACACTAAATCAAAAAGCCAAACTCCCTGCCATTGAGTGGATTCTGGCTCCTAGAAACCATATGGGACAGAGGGGAACTGCCCCGTGGGTTCCCAAGACGATCAGTCTTGATGGCAGTAGAAGGCATCATCTTTCTACCACAGAGCAGCTGGTAGTTTCGAACTGCTGACCTCGCAGACAGCAGCCCAACTCCCAACCCACTACACCATTAGGGCTCCTCCTCTGGAGCACAGCCTATGGTTATGAGCAGAAATCTTCGTCACAGAAAGCAGAAATAAAGTAGGGTGTATGGAGGGGGCATCATGCCTCTTTTAAGGTCAGGGTAGAAGAGTAAGTGTCTGAAGGGGGGGAGGAGGCTGAGACCAGGTATACCAGAGACGATGACTTGGAGGTTCAGAGGAGCAGAATTTAAACCAAGGGTGCTCACACTTTTTCAGCATGCGAGCTACTGACAAAATGATCAAGTCAAAATGATCTACCAACTACAAAAATACAAAACATATATTTATTTTTATTTATTACAGTTATTCATAAATGCATTGAGAATTCTCTGTATGTACAATGCATGTTTATGTACCTTGCATAACCACATGAGTCCATATTACACAACACAACACAATTAACTATGTACGTTTTTTGTCATGACCTGAGTTTACTCTGATGACTTGCACTGAATGGAATGAGCCTGGGATGCATAGTCCGGACAGTAGCTGCTGACAGCCAGCCTCAAGCACACTTCCAGATGATCATCAGTCATGGTGAACAGTACTTGGACTTAATGATCTTTATGTGGGAAAAAGCTGACTCACATAAATAAGTAGAGCCGAATAAAGAAGTCAAGGAAGTAGCATTTTCTCGTGTTTGGGTACTTTCCCTCTGCGAATACGTTCCAGAACTGTTCATGGCTCTGGACTTCAGCTGAATGTCGGCTCGTGGTGTCAAAATCTCCCATTCCATATGAAAGTGATACATTTTTGTTCTCTTACTGGGTCCAGCTCCCCCACTCATTTTAATGCCCTTTCTTACGTTTAAGAGAAAAACACGAAGGTCTTGGGCAAAACTTATCTTGTCAGTTTTGCTGCACTATGTGCAGATGTTTGCGCATGCGTTTGACACCTAAGATTGCATCTGATTGGCTGCGCTGTATATCGATTAAGTGACGGGATTGATGATAGGTTTACGTCTATTTTTTAATGC